AAAACCATCTTGTCAATTTTTAGCGTCTGCCAAATGACTTCTGGTTCAGGCTTCTTCGGCGACGGACCAAAATCTGCGATTGTGTGCAGTTTTGATCCGTGCTTGCCGCTGGAGCGCCCCGAGCCGCCTGGATTCGGGGCTGAAGCCACCCCGTAGAGGTGGTGAAGAAGGGGGAGCAGTCATCTCTCCTCCTCGGCTGGCCATTACTCCCTTTCCCAAAGGCACTTGCAGTGGTGGTCAGAAATGGCCACCTCAAAGAAGAACCCGACCGGACAAGATTGTGCAGGAGGAAGTTTAAAGGAGAAAGCTTGACTAACCGGTGGAGAACATCTATTTCAGGTATCTGGAACCTGAACTTTAAAGACTAATACTATTCCTAAAAAAGATCTTAAGCGGCGAAAGAGAAAGGAAACGGAATTGGCTTTTCTTCCTCTCACATTGACAGTTTTAATTGACTTGGAACGTTAAGAAGAGATTTGAATAAGAAATTGAAATTAATCCACTTTGACATTAATAGGGTATTTCTAGCTGAAAATAAAGTGTCAAAGGGATAAAGATTCTTGGATAATTTAAATTTTTTCTTAAGTAAAAAGAAAGAAAGCAGAGGAGGGGAAAAGGAAACAAGAGGGTGGAATCTGGAAAATGGAGACCACCTGGAACTTAAAAAAATCGATAGTGGAATTTTAACAAGGCTTGCAAAAGATACATTGTAGCTGAAACTTTGTTACAAGACAATAAAGCCTCTGGAAAGAGAAAGCGAGAAAAGAAGCAAGAAACAGTTTTGGATTATTGGATGATTCCTGGAATTTTGGATGGTGGATCCTAATGAAACAAAATAAAATCAATTGGGGGTTGTTTAAATTTTTTTTTAAAATGGCATCACCTTGAAGAGTTAAAAATGAGACTTAAAGAACAAAAAGAAGAAGCACAAGAAGGAAGAGGATCTTTTGGCTTTGTATTTCAATTTTTAGACATGGAGATTTTGAACTATGAAAAACAAGAAACGCTGGCAGAACAAGAAGGGCGGGATAAAGAAGAAGCCATCTTTAATGACCAAGCAGCTTTAAGCGGGGTAAAAAAGGGAAAGGGGGGAAAGGGAGTTAAAAACTTAAGCACTGAAGCAACAACCCCAAAAAAGAGTAATTTGAAAAGCAATCATAATATCAAGAAGCAGAAGGGAGGATCACAGAAGGGAGAATCAGATAAAAAAGGGAATTAAAAGGGGAGGGAGAAGAAGAGAGGGAAGAGGGAAAGGAAAAGAAGCTACAAAGGACAGAAACAAGATATAAAGGTACAGGAAAAGCGTACAAGACTTAAAGGTATAAACCTATTTAAAAGACACAGAGACAATGGTTAAAATTTAACTTAAGGAGAGGATTCTCCAAGGGTACATGGGATAGCATTGTTATAATAGAAATAGAAAAGGGTTAGAAAATATGTTTTGATGATCAAAGTGATAAGAAAAATTTGTATTGATGTGTAATGGAATATTTGTTTGTAAAGAGAATAAGGCTCTCAATGAAAGTTTAAAACAACTGAAAAGAAACATGGAAGATTTTTATCAGCTGACAAGATGAATTTGAATAAGAATAATAATTTTATTGACTACTGTTAATAACTATTGTTTTGTTTTTTATTTAAAGACAGTAATAAGTAAAATATGAAATATAGATTAAAGTGAAAGACAACTGATATTACTAGGTAATGTTTGTTAAAAGAAATAGAAATGTAAAAGATTGTTATTAATGACAGAGCTGTAGAATAATTATTCCATTTACTATTGTTATACATATATACACAGATATATATACTTTTTTTCTTTTAAGAATTTAGTGTGTATTTTTAAGGGAGTGTACCAAGCAGAATTTGATTGAAAATAGGTATGTGTTATAAAATAGAGGTTAAAAAAAATGAATGTTATAACTGTAAAGGTGCAACTTAAATTTTTAAGCAAGATTTGAAAAAAGATACAAAGGTGTTACACTCCAGTCTAGTAATTACAGGGTAAAATTTGTTTTATGAGAAAAGATAATATGACATTGTAAACAGGAGAGACGAAAGTATAAAAACATTGATTAGAAAGATTTTAAAAACTAGAAAAAGATATGTAATTGAATTAAGAAAGGAATGAGATAATGTAAAATAAGGCTATAGGAAGTAAAGGAAGGGAAAAGCTATTGAAAAAATTGAGAAAATAGTTATAAGATATGGATTAGAATGTGTAAGATAAATATGTATTGAGTTTATGTCTGTATGGAGAAGTGATAACCCAGGGCCACGCTGTTCTCAAAAAAAGATGTTTTATTTGTATTTGTATGTTTTGTGAAAATTTAAATAAAAACTTTTATTAAAAATTTTTTTTTTAGCTTCTGCCAGTCTGATCAGTGAAACAGGAAACTAAAAGAAAAAAGGAACCACTTGCAATTGTTAGACCTAAAGCAATGTACACCAGACTAGATAGTTTGTTGGCCTGATTCTGAAGTTTTTAAAGTTCTTTCATTCCACTTTGAAATAGCATATCGGACAATAGACTGGTCTAAAATATATATCTAAAATAGATTGGTTAAAATCCCATTTGTGTGGCACCATATTCGACTGCCTAAGTCAACGGTGTCAAACTCAATTTCATTGAGGGCTGCATTAGGGTTATGTTTGACCTCGGGGGTGGGTGGGCGTGACCACGGTGGGCATGGTCAGCTCTACGTAACTCATGTCGAGGGCACTTGTGGTGCCCCAAGCACTCTGCCATCGAAAATGGGCTCCCGAGCTGTTTTCAGCTGTGATGGCCTCCTGCAACCCTCTGCCAGTGAAAACGGAGGTCGGGATGGCCGCCCACAGCTCTCCCAAGCTCTGTTTTCACTGGAAGAGGCACAGTGTACTGGACTGCTGTTTCCAGGGTGGCCCTGTAGGCCAGATCTAAGCACCCTGTGGGCCAAAACTGGCCCCCGGACCTTGAATTTGACACTCCTGGCCTAAGTGCGTACCCATTCTGGAAGCGCTTGAAGGAAAAAAAGAGAATGAGACATACACCCATTTTCTCATTTTACTTATAAAAGATGTTAGTAAAATATACTATTTTTAAATATGAAAATAAAACATTTTCACATCTATTGAAATGTTTGAAAAACCCACCATAAAACTTAATTTTTTTGTTTTGCTTTTCATCATACAATACTGACTGCAAGAATCAAAGAAACCAAGAAATTATGCCAACAGGACTTATGGAAACATTACTCTGGCAGCATTATTATATTACTTATATTATGGGTTTATGATTAAAGTCTGAAAAATTAAATTTCCATTCTTTCTACATGAGACTGAACTTATATCTTTTTCTAAGCCAAGAATCTATAAACTACAGCAAGGTAACAATGGACATTCTGTACTATATTTTATAGAATAAATAGTTATTTCCTTATGGAAAAAATATACTTGGTTTATTAATAGAAAATGTTAACTAAATAAAGTTCTATTCTATAACACAATACCTGATTCACAGCCAATGAAAATGAAGCCTTCACTTTTCTATTGTCCCAAAATTATTCTGAAAAAAACAAAAAAACTTGCTCTAGGCCAGCGGTGGCTAAACGTTTTGGGCTCCTGTGCCAAAAATTATGTGCGTGCTCGTGTGCCAGCACTCAGAAGGCAATGCCCATCCCCCCTACCCCCTGCGTATGCATGCTCAATCCACCCTGCCCCTTACCTGCACTGCACCTCACAGCTGATTTCTTGGCTGGTTTGAGGCCTTTTTCGGCCTCCAAGCTTGAAAAAAGCCTCTGCAGGCTGAATGATAGGCCCATTTCGTCACTTCCGGTATTACAGGAAGTGATGAAATGGGCCTATTATTCATCCTGCAAAGCCTGCAGAGGCTTTTATCAAGCCTCTGGGAGGCCGAAAAAGACCTCAAACCAGCTGTGAGGTGCACCATGCGCAATGAGGTAAGTTTGCTTGTATGCCAGCACAAATGGCTCTGCATGCCACCTGTGGCACATGTGTCATAGGTTCGCCATCACGGCTCTAGGCAGTTCACTTTTAATTAATTTTATTTTTCATCCCACAACTGTATCTGGGATGATATGGGCAAGCCTTTCTTCCAATCCAATAATGGTATTAAATCAAATCAGCCCAGTTTTAAAAAGAAAAAACAAATCAGAGACCAAAGGAAAAATTCAGCCTCTTTTGCATAGATGTTGCTCCCGCTTCACCAGTATGTCCTGTCATTAACTATCACCTCAGAGTACTGAAAAAAAGATCAGTGTAGCATGACACAAAAACTTCAAGACTTATGAATATGTGTAAAGATTTCCTATGGACATGTGATACAATACCTAAATTTCATTAGATGTTCTTTGAAGTATTAGTTGTTTAATCTACTTGTTTATCTGCTGGTTAATGCATCAAGCTACAATGTGGCAAACTGTGAGTTCTAGTCCCACCTTAGCCATGAAAGCTAGTTGGGTGACTTTGGGCCAGTCACTCTCAACACAACTCATCAACAGGCTTGTTGTGGGCAAATAGGAGGAATGTATGTTGGATATGTTTGCCACATTTGAGTTTTTTGTAAAAACAATGAAAGTGAGATAAAACAAATATTAACTTCAATAGCCTTTTTTAATACTTGTATTGTTTTTCACTTAAGAGTAGATAAAAGGTAGAACTGGTTTTTCTTCTAGAACTCAGGATGGTCTGTGGATTGGCAAATACAGATCAGTTACTTAAAAGCAATGTCACCAATTTTCTTCTTTAGCCAAAAATATCTAACTCAACATGAAAAACATTAGAACTGAAGAACAGATTGTAATTTAGAAAAATAATAGATGCTTAGTTTTGGTCTATATAAAAATTCCTACATTCATCATCTTTTAATTGTAAATGTATACTTTACACTTTGCTTTAGTTCATCAACTTTTTAGTTATCCAATTTTAGGTATCCAATCACAATGAAAATGAACTCTACTTACTTTGGCTTCACCCTATTATTGCAAAACATTGTGGATTGCTATTTTTGACAATGCATTCCCCATTATCAAAATGAAGAAAAACTGTTGCTACAGCTAATCTTTAAAAACTTATCTCCCCCTTTGATATGGGCATCAGTGATTAATAGCTAGCTAGCCACAACTTCGCTATCTACATAATTTCTTGCACAGCAACAGCTAATTTTGAATTTAATATTCTGTAAATATATTCAAAGTTCCTTCTCCTGAACACATTTTTATGTTATCTACCATTGTCATTTGCTATTTTTCTCCTACTGCAAAGTCCAATCATAACCTCCAGATAATTTAAACCTATTAATGCTCTTGAGCACTACTAAAATGCTAACAGTTTTTCTTCTGTCTTCAATAAAGCTATGAAAACAAAGCTAAATAAAAACTATAAATCTCTTGAGGAACTTATGGTTTGGGGAAAGTAGTTTCTAGATCCATCTTGTATTCAATCTCAGATTGCCTTGATCTAGATGCCTAGAAGACAAATCTAGATTGTAAAGGTTTTAGGCTATTTGCGAATGCTCAGGAAATCAAAACCTACATTAAAATCTTAAGTAGATTTATTTTTTGGAATGGAGAGTGGTAGTGTAGTTTTACCTTTTTGCAGATGTTAATCCTTATAAATGCAAAGATAAGCAAAGACCATAGCATCACACTGCTGTGCAAAAAAAAACACCCCTCTACTAATGAACAGCACAACTATTTTATGTTAGGAAATGAAGAGAACAGTAAATGATGTTTAAGAGAAATTGTCTTTTTCAAATGACTCATATATACTTAACTGGCCATTTAGACTACCACTGAAATCATAAAATGCTAAGTCATGTTCAACACATTCCAAACAACTGGATCCAGCAAGATCCTTTAGGCTTACGAATCCGGAACACAGAGATTAAGAAGTGAAGCCACCAAACCCAAAGATTGGTTGCATACAGCAGTAGGTTTGGTCTGCTATTTAATTTTGGCTTGGTGAAAGAAGCCATCAAAACTCGCAAGCCAACATTTATGAAGGCAATAAGGGCACCTTATTTGAGAAGCCATGGCTTAGGAAGATCAAAAAGGTAGAGTAGCTTCTGGTTCGGCCCGTTTTGCTACCACGAATAACAAGCAAATACCTTAGTTTTTTTTTTCTCAAAAGGCACACATTAGTTCTGCCTTAATAACCCTTGGCCACTCTATTTTTTTCTTTTTTTATATAAATGCTTAATATACCAGAATAAATCTGGTCAGAAATACATTTGTCCAGCATCCCCCACCTTACATGGCACGGTCCAGCCTACCGCCTCAGAATTTGTGCCCGTTCTTCCCACCTTTAAGCATAAGTCTGAGGGAATGGCAGAGCGAGGGGAGGGGGGCGAAGGCGTCTACCCTCCCTCTTGAAGTAGAGCGGGTGGAAGCGCTTCAGAATGGGAGGGAAGGGAGCATTATTCTGCACGGCGGTGACCGGGGAAAGGGGCACGCACCGGCCTCCCTCCATCCGGCGGACGAACAAGCGACTCCCCTAGCAGGAATGTCGGGGGTCGGAAGGGAAGGGGAGCCCACTGGGAGAAAAACAGCGGCGAGCAAAGACAGGCGAGGGGGCGGGGGGGGGGGGGGGGAGGAAGGCGCCACTTCGACACCAAGCCAACAGCTACCCCGGCTCCCCACAGGCCGACGCGGCTCCTCCCCTTCCTTTCCTTTCCACCCTCCCTCAGTAGCGCAAAAGCTCCTCACCTGCGCGCAAACGCTCCCCCTTCGAACGCCGGCCTTTTGACCCACCCCCCTTGCCGCTGACGAGCTCGCCCGTCACTCACCGGTCCAAGCGGCGCGCCGATTGGGCCAAGCCGCCCGGCTCGTCAGCTCGCGCGCTCCCTTTTACAAGCCCCAACCCCCCCCCCCCGCCCCCCCCCCTTTCCCCCCCCCCCCCCCCCCTTTGGCCCCCCCCCCCCCCCCCCCCCCGCCTCCTTTCCAACTGTCCCCCTTAACGCCTCTCCATCCAGGCGACTGGCTTATTGGGCGCGAGAGCTGCGTGTCATCCAGAGGGGACGCTCTCATTGGCTGGAGAGAGAGAGAGAGAGAGAGAGAGAAAGGCAGAAGCCGGGCGTCGTTTGCGTTTTGTCGCCGGCGCCGACCCGCCTTTCTCTTTTGGAAGAAGTTTGAGATGTTCCCTGAGGAAACCGGTTGTTCGCGTATTCATACAAGGTACCTCTAAACTGTGGTTCACAAACCCTAAGGCCAAACAAACAATATGGTTTAGAGCCTTTTATGAGCCAAAATACCACATACTTGTTGCACTAAATGTCTATGGAGATTTTCAGTCATGGTTGTCCCGGAGGTGTTTTTTCAAGAGGCAACAGGACTTTTTCTTTGAAGAGGTTTCACTTCTCATCCAAGAAGCTTCTTCAGCTCTGACTAGATAGTGGGGAATCCAGTCTCATTGTACACATATTGTTCATTGACGATAAAGGATTGAATTCGGCTCAGTATTTGTAAACAGCAATGGATCATGCCCAATATTTCCTAGCCGTACCACAGATAACAACAATGATCTAATATCGATTTCACAGAAGACAATGTTGAAAAAGCAATACGCAACCTAAAACCATCTCTATCTATTGGACCGGATGGAATATGTGCCTACTTCTTAAGAAAGCTATCCACTGCCATAGCCAAACCTCTAAGCATAATCTTTGAAAAATCTTTCAGAACCAGCTCCTTGCCTAACCTATGGTCACAAGCCACAGTCATCCCCATCTTCAAAAAGGGAGACCCAAGCCTAGTTGAAAATTACAGGCCAATCTCCTTATGCTGCGTCACCTGTAAAGTCATGGAATCAATTATTAACCAATCCATCATCCTTCACTTAGAGACAAATAACCTACTCTCCAATAAACAATTTGGTTTCAGAAAAAAACTATCCTGTAATCTGCAACTCTTACACTGCAAAAACATATGGACGACACAACTCGACCAGGGCAAAACAATAGACGCAATCTACATAGACTTCTGTAAAGCCTTTGATTCAGTGGTACACGACAAACTACTCCTAAAAATAAAATCCTATGGTATCTCTGGACAACTGAATAACTGGATAGAAGCATTCCTGTCAAACAGACAACAAATGGTCAAAATCGGGAGCGTCCTATCAAATCCAGTACCTGTCAATAGTGGTGTTCCCCAAGGCAGTGTTCTAGGACCAACTCTCTTCATACTCTACATAAATGACCTCTGTGATCATATTAAGAGCAATTGCGTTCTCTTCGCTGATGATGTAAAGCTGTTCAACACCACAGACAATACTGCTACCCTACAAAAAGATCTTGACTATGTATCCGAATGGTCAAACAAATGGCAACTTCAAATCTCAACAAATAAATGCTCTGTCTTACATATTGGCAAAAAAAATCAGAAAATAAAATACAAGCTGAATAGTCAAGATCTTGTTGATGACCCAAGCTCTGTAAAGGACCTTGGAATACTCACCTCTAATGATCTAAGTGCTAGAGCACACTGCAACTACATAGCCAAAAAGGCATTAAGAGTTGTTAACCTAATCCTACGTAGCTTTTTCTCTGGTAATATCACACTACTAACCAGAGCATACAAAACATTTGCTAGACCAATACTCGAATACAGTTCATCAGTCTGGAACCCACACTACGTATCTGATATTAGCACAATTGAGAAAGTCCAGAAATATTTCACAAGAAGAGTTCTCCACTCCTCTACTCGCTGTAGAATACCTTATGCCACCAGACTTGAAATTCTAGAACTAGAAAACCTTGAATTACGCCGTCTTCGGTCTGACTTAAGCATGGTATACAAAATCATACATTGCAATGTCCTACCTGTCAATGAATACTTCAGCTTCAACCATAACAACACAAGAGCACACAATAGATACAAACTCAAAGTAAACCGCACCAAACTTGATTGCAGGAAATACGACTTCAGCAATAGAGTGGTCAATGTCTGGAATACTCTACCCAACTCTGTAGTTTCTTCCCCAAACCCCAAAAACTTTAACCTTAAGACTGTCTACTATTGACCTCACCCCTTTCCTAAGAGGTCTGTAGGGGGCGTGCATAAGCGCACCAACGTGCCTACCGTCCCTGTCCTATTGTTTCTCTTATTCTTTTATTTTTCTTATATGTAACCATTTCATGTATTCACAACTATGTATACATTTATACTTATTATCTTGTAAACAATTGGCAAATCAAATAAATAAAATAAAAATAAATAAATAGAATTGAATTGAATGGAGCTGTAGAAGCTTATTGGATGAGAAGCAAAATGTCTTCAAAAAAGAAGAAAGTCCAGTTGCCTCTTGAAAAAACACCTTTAGGATTTGGTGCAACATGCTTCAAGTTAACCCACCTGATTTGTTGACTTGTGATTTCATTTCCATGTTCTCCATTACAGTAGTCCTTGCCTACTATATGTTTGTGTTGCTTAGTGATGGAGTTGATGGTCCCAGCTGTGGTTGCTAAGTGAGGACCACTGGTACAATGTACTTTACAATAATAATGCAAGGTATGTGGATGCAATTTCTCATAAACTCAGTACGACATATTGGATCAAATAATTAGTGCTTTTATTATGGAAATGAATGAACATTCCAGTACTCTTCCACTAATATCCAGATAAATGTTAAATCTCACAAAACCCCAAATATTGAGCTAAAATATCAATTATGTTGTTTTAAGAAAGGTACACAATGCAACATATCAAAAATTTGTGACAAACCTATCTTATTTTTCAAAATTATACTGATAATTTTTTCCCCACACAATTTACACAGGAGTTTTGAAATGTATCTTTCCAATGTATTCATTTTTGCCTTCCTTGGCAACTTCAAAAAAATCATTAACACCTCAAAATTTGGTTTTTCCACTGTCAATCTCGTATTTAGTACTCACCACAAAGTAAATTAACTTATTAACTTTAAATCAAGATCCCATCAGTGGAATCTGATTTATAATTTAACAATAAACTATATTTATCTTTCTGTAAATCATTAGTGCATTTGTAAGTATACTTCAATGGAGATTATAACTATTAACCATTTTTCTGTTCAAAAAAATTGCTATGTCACATCCAACAATAGATATTTGCTTTTTAAATATCAGTTAGTCAAGATTTTTAAAATAATAAAATCCATGTTGTCATGTTGCTTTGTAGGATATTATTTGCTCAGATACTAGTTACAAAACAGGCTTTGGTTCAACATTTGTTTCATTTTCTGGTTAAATTTGCTATAGCAGTATAAAGCAGGGGTTCCCAACCCGCAGTCTGTAGTCTATGGCATGCCAAAAATCAGACTACGCAAACAAATGAAGCCCCATCTGTGGGATGCAGGCAGCACACAAAATTATACACCCCTCTGGTCTGCACAGGAACTCTTCTCCACAGAACCGGTCCCTGGTGCCCAAAAGGTTGGGAGCCATTATTTGTATAAAGTAATATATAAAATAATTACCAGTACATTTGAATGTTACATTTGAATTGATTATAGTAGATAACTCAAAAAAGCTCAAGATGATAAGAAGCTATATACATTACACTAATGTTCATTGCATCATACCATACCTTTATTGACTGTACAATAATTGTATAATTGAAATATGGTTATAAGTGCAAATAAGATTTATTTTCATGCAATTCATTGACATATACCATAGCCATCAAGACCAATTGTTTGTGCACAATATATTGTGATCTTGTTTTTCTTTTTTGAGCTATAATTTAACTACCATTTGACTACTGCTTAAAAGCTGGTAAAAAAAATTTCAGTCTTTTTTGATGTCATGAAAAAAGAATAAACAACCTATGTAACAAGTCCAAATTCTTGGGAGCTATATCTAATATAACACTCATTATCACATTCTTAGTTTCTATCTTAATTCCTAAATTATTTTGTTGTGCATAATTCCTTGAAAGATGTTTTCTCAGGAACATCTGGGGACAGCAGTACTTATTCAAGACCATATTTGAGAATAAAGACTCCAAGAACAAATTATATTTCTCTTTTATACAACATATGGTATAATCCTACTTATTTTCAGCACATGGAATGAACGGTACATAAGCAGCATGGAGAATTGACAATCCATGGTCCATGTTATAATGACTATATAATTTGAGGAACAATGGCCTAGCTTTTAGGATAAAAATAGATTTCAATAATTCAATCATTTCCCCCCAAAATAAATTGAAGCATAATTTAACATTTGAAATAAATGGCAATGATTTAGTGGAACTTTAATAGTATTTGATAGTAATGAAAGAAAATATGTTGAAATTCAGTAATTACAATTATGAAATGATTATATTGAAAAAACAACTTGGTGGTAATAGGAAAGAACTTGTAATAAATCAGTATTTCTATTGCACCAATACAGCTGAATTTTCTTCTTTAGATTTAAGATGAAAAATCCTTCAAATCAAGTGCATATTTATTTAGGAATAAACTCTGGGATTTTAGAAACTGGGATGGGTTTTCAAATTATAACTGTTGACTCAATAGGAAATTGCTGCAGAAGTTATTAATGTAAACAGAAAATAGAAAAAAGGGTCATGAAATATATTAATAATTGTGACCATAATTGGAAAAAAATGTAGTTTTATACCCACAAAGAAAAGCAAGCATAACAGCAAACAGCCAATTATGTGATGCATAGAACACAACTCTTGAATTTGTATGTTTTAGATTGTAATGTTTTTCTCCCACTATTAAAACTATGAATCATTCATACACAAACACATACATGTGCACATTTATACCATAATAATTTTTTATTCCTGAAATTAGTAATCTGAAATGTATTCAGCTTATGGATGCCATTTTAAATAAATTTGTAGAAGTTGAGGGATAATTACAAGTTGTCTGGTGTAATTTTTAAATCAGTTCTTGGTCCCACAAAATTGTTTTAGAAACTGCTCTCAATATTAAAAGTAGCCAGCTTTTAGGCAGAGCTTATCTAGAGAAGGAAGGAAGGTACCCAATCATTGGAAGTCAGTTGGAATACAAATTCAATAATTTATTTAATAATTAATAAATTATTAAACACAGGCCATCCAAACTCAAAACATGTGTCTTAACACATTAACTATGGAGTAATTACCAATCCTCATTCTAAGAAAATGAAGAGGAAATCTGGTTGGTAGATTGACACCCTTATATTTGGTTACCTTAAAATCATATAGTGGCTAAGATGGGCAGCAAATGAAATAAATAAGAAATAAGAAACAAATACATAAGAAAAATTACTTATGTATAATCGTTTGTATCACATTGCTTTTACAACCACGGATCCCTGAATTTATTAAACTGAATAACCTGACAATGAAACTCAGTAAGGGCCTTTGGCATAGGCGCAACTTCTTCCCATTCAGATCTACTGCTATGGTAGACCTGTACTTCGTCAGTTATTTCATCAGGAGCATAATCTCCACCCAGAATGTATATTTTATCTTCTATTCCAACTGCCCCTGCATTAAAACCAGCACATTCAAAAGAGCCTTCTCCTTTCCAGACACAGGTTTCCGGACAAAAGCTATAAACTTTGTAAGTGGAAAGATCACAAATGTATAAAGTGCAGTTCACTGGAATAGCTTTGATTAAGGTTGCATGAAAGAATTGCCCAAATTCTGCTACTAACTCAGACCACTGATCTGTTATAGCATTATATTTAAAGAAGCAATCAAGAGATGGATTAAAGGCATCTGTAATTTCAATTTCAGAACCAAGCACATATATTACACTGTGACAGGCACTTGCTTCTGGATAGTAGATGCCTCTTGGTAATGGACTCATAGATTTCCACTCTCTAGTCAGGGGATTATATGCCTCAACATCCAAAAGGCTTTTGATATCCTGAGATGCCCTGGTCTTCCCTCCTATTACATACAAACAATTTAAAGTCACAACAGATGTATGCATTGTCCTTGGCTTCTTCATGGCAGATACTAATGAGAAACTATCATTTGCTGGGCAATAACACCAGGTTTGATCTGTGGCATCATGAAATGTTCCAGCAATATGAAGTCTAATAGTCCGGAAACAGTTACCTTTACATCCACCAGTTATAAATATTTTTTCACCATAACTAGATAAACTTGATCCAGGTAGATCAAATATATTTATGTGTATCAGTTCTTTCCATTGATCAGTTTTAATATTATAGCAAAATGTATGTTGATTAACTTTATTTTCTTCAGTTTTATGAACCAGTATGTATTTTTCTGTAGTTGATGGGCGAGGATCTGGGAAAAGCCCACTGAAACGCTGTACATTTTGAATTGCTTCCTTGATTACTGCTAAGCAATTTGTGGTTTTAAGTAATTGTTCCTCAGAGTGCAAAATATCCTGCAATGTCTTTTCAGGTAACTGATGTAACCTGATCTTTTTCATCAAAGGAGGAAGATATTTATGTCTTGTTTCTAAGTCATGTTTTATCCACCAAAAGACAGCTTTCAACACAGATTCTTCATCTAGTACGTTCAACTCATCAGCTTCTATGCATTTTTGCAGTATCTCAAAATGCATTTCCAAGAAATCATTTGATTGGAGAAGCAAGGAAAAATGGAGTTGGGCATATTCAAGTGTATGCTCAAACAGCTTGGTGGAGCCATAACTTTCAGAAATGGATAAGAGTTGTAAACAGTTAACAAGATCAATATTCTTAATTAGAAAGTCACTGCAAGCTTTTGAAAGAAGTGAAACTTGAAGAAAGGAGGACAGCTGAAAGAACATTTCCACATTATCATTTGTTATCTCTGCTTTTCCAGTATAAGCATAATCTAGAAAAGCCTTCACTGCCTTGGATGTTAAATTACTTATCGTAACACTCCCACCATCTCTTTCTTTCATGTTAACTTCAAACATGGCCCTGTAATTAAAATATAGAAGATTAACATGTTTTGTCATCATTATCAATATCCAATTCAATCAGAAAAAAATCTCAGACCTCAAATGAGGTAATCAGTACCATTCTCAGTATATATACTTGCTGATTTTATGTAGCATAAGCATCCTGTTTTCTTAACAACAAAAGCACAATTCTCTACAGGTATATATGGGAAGAACCTTTGAATTCAAAGGGGCTTCCAAAAAGCCTGGAATATGATTGCAGAAAATGAACAGATACTTTTAAAACCCTTGCAATTTTTCAAGTAACTGAATTATTTTTATATAATTATGCAATTTTATGTAATTTATATAAGTCAATATTAAACAATTCTACAATTTGAATTGCATGGGCCGACTCTGTAAACATTATCAACTTTAACAACATACGTAGCAAAGGAGCCCAGTTAGAAATACATTTACCTGAAAAAATCACTACATGCTGCTAGTACACAACGATGGCAGGGAATTGCTTCATCTTTTACAAGTATTTTAAAGTCAAAAAATATATTTTGAGCTCTGAAGCTTTGCAGAATGGTTAGGATTCTCTGACCATGATCTTCAGCCACCAAAGAACTGATTTTTTTGTCATGAGTTGAAATTCCATTGCAAGTTGGGGTGTGATTTGAATTATACTGGTTGTCCATGGCTTCTTTGATCTTTTACTATTGAGAGACATAATATACACGTTACAAACATTATTTTCATAACAAATTATTGAGAAAACTACTTCATGGTCCTGATGTATTGAGGACTGTCCTCTATATGAATTACAGTAGTGTATTCATATTTTAAATAATCTAAATTAAAATATAGAAATTGAATTCTCACTGATACTGAAATATCTGCATTGCTTTATGATTTACACCTTCCAGCCCAGAAGCATGTTGCTGGAAGGACAATTAACTAGCAACATAATTATATTTACTACTATTAAGAAGTAAACTCCACTGAGTTCAATAGGGCTCCTGTGATACAATTTTATTGTTTCTCTGCAAATAGCTGAACATTCCGAAAATCATCTCTATGATCTGATTTTAGCTAGAATAGAAAATGAGTAGAAACCACTAGATGAAAAAAACAAGAAATAGAAAAATGAAATTGCACTGGTTCCTGTACTTTTGCAGTAAGCTGAAAAGAAAAAAATAGGACATAGACCACGGGTGTCAAACTGGCTGTGTCCCATTGCCATCACGTGATGTATCACAACATTTTTTTCCTTCACAGAGCTGGGGTGGTTGTGGTCGCCATGTGATGCATCCGGCCCCCAGTTTGATATCCCTGATATAGACACTTAAAAAAACCAGTAAGCTCATAAATAAAATAATGGCCACATGGTCACAAAATGATCTGTTAGAAATCTGGAGAATTATGATCTGGTGTTTATGTTATAAATGATTTCCCATTGGACTCCTCATGTCAGTAAAAATGGCTTCTCATTTAAACTACAGTATAAAACTGGTCACTCTTAAATAAGGCAGCAATTATAATTCAGTAACTTTAATCAGATTCTGGATCATTAAGCAAAAAAAATAAGACACTATGTTCAAACACAAATATTAAACTTTACATTCTTGTTAGCTAAGCTGTACCAATTCATAGGAAAAACTAAATGAAGACAAAAATTTAGCCCTACTCAAGTAATAGTAATAGAAGTAATAGTAATAGATATAATCTGTAAATATTTCAGTTGTTCACTGCACCTTTTCTCTTTGTACTAGGTCTACGGTTTTATCAGTTTGCACAGTAAATATATATAAATAACATATTTAACAAAAGCAAAATGTTTCTAAATCTCATTTATCAAGCAAAATCTTGCCATTAGTGAGGTATGGAAGCCACAGAAATGTGCCAAAATCTAGCAGGACATATTTCCTAGGCTTCTTAATGGAACATGCAGCTAAATTAATAAAAGCTATACCTTCTTTGTTGATGATGCATAGTGTAGCTATTGCAGTAAAGAATTTTCTTATGTGCTAAAACAAAATAGCATAGGGCTAAAAACTTCTTTCATAAACAGCCCTATTGATCACTTATTTCCAGTCACAAATTTCTGTTAATATCCTAAGCTATAAATTCACAAAAGCTGACATTTTTAAATACATATCAGGTTGAATACATTAAGCATATGAAATGTACACTTTGCATTTCAGAATTACTTGGGTACCACGTAAACACACCCAATTAAATAAAGATTTTCTGTTATCCATTTTCACAACCAAAGAAATACAGTGAAAATTTAATTTAGTAGTCTCACTTCAGAACTTGGCTAGAATAAGCAACTTCCAAATCTTTGTCTAGTCACCATTTCATGACTCAGGCTATCAACACTTTTGAAGGGATGGGAAGTTTCCCCCTGATTCTTAGCTGCCATAAATAATCATCACAATAAGCCTAATAAAAATGTACCAGTTTTAGCAATAATACAAAATATTATTAAATACTATCCAGGCATTTTCCTTGCAATGAGCTCTAACCACATTATTCAGTAACAATTACTGCACTGAAATTGTAATTGTTCCCGGTTATACCTTTTGAGTTTGCAGTCCTTTTCTGACTCAAATATGCCCCCTTCAGTCCCCTTCTATAACCAAAATGGATAATTTATTTATTTATTTATTTGATTTGATTTGCCAATTGTTTACAAGATAATAAGTATAAGTGTATACATAGTTGTGAATACATGAAATGGGTACATATAAGAAAAATAAAAGTCTGAATAATATTCCTTGTATCTTAAAAGCACAGCTCTCACCAAAGCTCATGCGTTAGGTATCTCGACTTCTGGACCGATTTTTTCCCCTAAATCTGCTACTTTCAGAATCCTCTGGATGAAAAAAAAAAACTAAAAAAAAAAAATAAGGCTCCTCCGCGATCTCGAGATTCTGAAAATTGTAATTCCAACAGTTCTGGAAAGCAAGAGATTTTGGTGAGGGAAGGAGGTGCTGCTTTTAATTTTTAATTGATTTCTGGCGTCAGTCCGCTGGAAATAAGGCCAGCTTTTACACAAATTACAAATAAAGTGCTATTTCATTGGCGCGCTTGTTTACGCGTGTGTGTGTGTCTATGCAGTTTTGGCATGGTTTTCAGAAGTGATTGCCATTGCCACTTCCCTAGAGCCAAAGAGAGTGGCTGGCATGAAACGACCCAGTCGGCTTCGCGCATAAGAGGGGGATCGAACTCAATCTCCGAGTTTCCAGCTTAGCACGTGTGGCTAATTACGTCCGTTTATCACAACACGGGGTGCACTGTAATTCTTCTGTTAATTTTAAACGGATCAAGAACTCTTTCATATTGCAATGGAATCCCCCAAAAATCCATCCCTGCATCTCCTTTCCCACGCGCGCTGCGTTTTTTTTTTTTTTTAACGGCTTCCACTTTCCACGACCCGCCCACCAGACGTACCTTAGTTTATGCGCATGCCCAAGTAACCGCGCATGCTCGTTTTGGCCTCTGATGCTTTAGCAAAAAGGACCGTTCTTTTCTTCAATCGACCCCATTTAGGAAGAGAAGGGGCTTCGTACCAGTTCCGCAAGTGTAACGTCCTTTGCGAGAATCAATTCACTATAATTCAGAGAAGCCCATCTCCCATTTTTTTTTTAATTCTGGCTGTATCGCGTCACTTTTACCTACCTGCACCCTCCCTAGGAGCTGTAGGAAACATCTGCTACATCGGCCGCATAAAACCCACCGCAGTTCGTCCATTGGCTTCCCTCCTGTCAGTCAAAGCAACTGCTGCGTTTTGATTCGTACGAGCGGATGTCAGTCATCCATTTAACCCCCGCCTCATCCGCAATGAGTGCAATGCCGTTGGGCGCGAGTTTACTTTTAGGAACCCCATTAACCCTGCGATGTCTTATTGATAAAAGTTGTCTTATTGAACGGTGGTAAAATGCTGAACAGAAATCCGCTACGAGAATAGTTATCTTTAAATTTCTAGCTCTATGCACACTGCAGGTGCTTGCGGCCAGTGGTGATTGGACAGATTTCTCCTGGGCGGCTATGCCTCGATTGGTCGGCGTATTTTGCGTTTCCGCCCTTTCCGGCTTCAGGTTCAACGTCGTTTATAGAGAAGCAAGGGGTGGTGGTAAGCAGCGCTAATGCATGATACTTCTACTCTGTCCTTTGAGCCCCCCTCCCCCTCCCGTTACGTCGCCTTGCAAGTAAGCCTGGTTGTGATTGGGGGGAATATCCTCTGACTCACTCTGAGCAGTCCAATGATTGGCTGGGAAGAAAACTCCATTATTCGCTGAGTGGCTAATGGCTATGGAGATTCTCAGTCATCCAGTCACGGTTGTCCCAAAGGTGTTTCCCCCCCCCCTCTCTTCAAGGGGTAACTGGACTTTCTGGTCTTTCTTTGAAGGTGTTTCCCTTCTCATCCAAGAAGCTTCTTCTGCTCTAATTGAAGAATTCAGTCTGAACTCTGCACCAAGAACTGTAATTCCCCACCATCCAGTCAGAGCTGAAGAAGCTTCTTGGATGAGAAGTGAAACGTCTTCAAAGAAAAACCAGAAAGTTCAGTTGCCTCTTGGGAAAAAAAAAAGCACCTTTGGGATTACCCACTGAGGAAGACCTGTTACCCACTTCCCACTTCCAGAATCAATCAACCTTGTGCCCACCACATTAAGCACGTGGTCAAGTCACTTTTCTAAATAATCACTTTTAGATTAACAGAGTCCAACCCCCTGCCCAGGAGATTCTACACCATTTTCAACAGGTGGCAGCCCAATCTCTTCTTGAAAGCCTCCAGTGTTTTGAGTGCATTTCTCTTGTTGGATACTATAGAAATGATCCCTGAAAGTATGTTAGGAACAAATTAGAAGAATCCCTTCAAGACTTGGACCAGCACTGACATCTTGTCCTTGAAGGGCCAACTATGTTAGGCACATTTCCCGCTTAGTGTTATCCACTTGGCTGTTTCTTCATCCATACTTGGCGACTTGCAGACTTCAAATCCTAGAATTTCTTAGCTGGCTACGCTGGGGAATTCTGGGAGTTGAAGTCTACAAGTCTTAAAATTGCCAAGTTTTGGAGACCTCTGCTTTATACGAACGTGTGTTTCTTTTCCCCATGTACGGTGAGGGGCAAATGACATGAGTTTTTGTAATTTGTTAACAAACATAGTTATTTTATATTTTAATTTGATTTATTTTCTCTCTTTGAAAATGATGTTCAGGTTTATTAGCTTTTAACATTCCTAAACTGATAAAACAAGCTGGAGACTAGCTCCAGAAAAGAAAAAGTTTGTTAGTACAAATTAGGGTCTGGTTTATCTCTTTTGTGAACTTCAAACAATGTTTTTTCTTACAGTTACGTCCCTGCTGACATCAGACCTCATTTTTAATGAACGTGTGATATTATGGGTTGGAAATATGTAACATGTTTGATTACATGTGCAAAGGGGAGTTTACTCTTACCCTGTCCAATCAACTTTTCTCTTGCATTTTTGTTGCGTTAACTATAAAAAGGAGGGAAACATGAGGCTCAAGGCTCTTTCTTCCTTTTTCATTGAGAGATCCCATTTCATCAGGATACCCTAATAAACTACTTTTAAATGATCTTCCAAGATTCAGTTGCTTGTTTAAGGTAAAGGGGCCAGTAGAGGGGGTGTGCCTATTGTCCCTGTCATTGTGTTTTTATTCTCTGATTCTTATTCTCGTTTTTGTTTGACAAATTCCAATAAATAAATAAACTCAGGCAGAACCTAGGGCCAAATTTGGCTTTCATCAGTGACTGTAGGTCCTTTATTATAAAGCACAGTCCTTTATATCAAAAATCTTTAAATTTATTTTCTTAGTTCTGTTCTTGAATTTTCCCTTTTAGAGCAAAGTTATAAACATAAAATGATTTTTTTAAAAACATTTTATGAACCTCTTTCAGATTTGCTCATTTTTCAGATTTCTCCTTTATTTTTTCTACTCATATACTCTTTTATTGCAGTTGTACTGTTCTAGAACTTTAAAATTAGTCCGTAGAGTAATAATTTATTTGCCCTTAAACTTTTAAAAAGCTTTTAAAATACTTTGAGATCTAGTGAATAATTAGGTAAATTTATTGTTGTAGCCACAGGTTTGCATTTGTGATAACCATGTGAGGGAGAGTTGAATAAATCAGTGATAGCTGTGTCCTCCAAATTTAAGTCTTTCAAACCAAAGTCAGCAACTTCAAAAGTTTGGTCAACTTTGTTTCTTTTTTTTTTCAGATGATTGGAATATGTATGTTTGACACCATCACTTTTTAGGGTGTCCTTGGTGTGCCTCGACATGGAAAGTATACGCTGGGCATTTTCATACCGCGCCTGGGCCCCTTGCTGTGAGGAATGGTTGTTAGCCATGCGCCTTGTGCAGCCTGAAGAGAAAAAGCGCATTGAACAGTTCGTCTTTGGTCGGGATGCGAAAGCTGCTATGGTAAGCCTAATTCACTCTTTGGAACATTCTGTTGGCTTTGGAAATTTTAGAAGGGACAAGTGCATTAAACCTGTATGATTTAATGCCCATCATTCAGGGCTTCAATGGATATCAAGCCAAATATCAGTAGTGTTGCTCTTGCTGCATGAGAGGGACAACTAGAAATTTTCCCTCACCTCTCGTATGAGATCATCAGGTATCTTTCCCCAGATTTCTTCTGGTCATCAGGTACAGTAATTTTCCCCAGATTTTCTATAACACCGACATTTTGGTTGAAAACTGCACTTCATATTTTTAAGTAGGCTGAGGCACAGGATAGGAGAGGCTTTGGTGGTATTATTTAAAATAGCATAGTATTCTATGTTTTTAACAACAGCTAATAGTTTAGTAACAAGATGAGTCTTTATAAAAGGCTGAAATTATGCTCTACAGATGGCGCTAAAGTTCTAGAAATAACACACAACTGCATTATGTATCAATATATTTCATTCCATAATAGTAGGAAATGTAGAAGCCAATCATTCAACACATAAATAAATCTGATTTTAAAATTCACTTTGATGTTATAGAGAATTATGTGTCTGGGCACATACCGTAATTAAACTTTTTTCAGCATAAGGAAAGTCACTCATTTCATGACAAAATAAGCATTTCATATTTCACTTGCTTACATAAATTTAATCATTATGATCATAAGTTGATTTCAGTAGGTTAAACTGAAGAAAAGCCAAATGATTCAAATTCCATTGATGTCTTAGTTCCTGCTTCTACTATTTTATTTTTTAAAAGAAGTGTTCTGATAGTATATGATTCCTAAAAACATTGATTTTTTTTCTCTGTGGGTATTTTTTTTAAACTCTGTTAGGGTTTTTATCTCTGAAAACAATCTTCAAGAGAATTAAACCTGCTTTCTATGACTCACAATCTATCTTCACATTGAATTCAAAATACAGAAAGAAAAATAGAATTTTACATTGTACATTGCATCTTATAACTAAATTACAGTATCTGTATACACATTATTAATTTCCTTTAAAAGACTTATTTTTTTTAAATATAGTACTCATCTGTTTGTTATTTATAATTTTAGGTTGTTCTCTTAGACTGGCAACTCAATCATTAAGTGAAGTGCTCACTAAGTGAAACCACAGCTATGCTTATGATCTTACTTCAGCTTTCCTGTCCTTTACAAGCCTGCAAAAATCATAAATATAAGGATTGATTATAAAGTTATTTTTTCATCGCTGTCACAACTGTGAATAATTATTAAATAAGTCAGTTTCTAAAAGAAGATTATATGTATCTCACTCATCCCTGAACCCTTCTTACAAAAGAAATTAAATATTGAAATAGATAGACTATTGCTACATATAAGAATCCAAAATGGGTTTAGTTTCAATAATTTATAAAATATTACTCAGTATTGAAATGAGCTTGAATACCAACAAGAAATATGAAAAAAAAAAAAACAGATTTAGGAATATATTTAAGAATGGAACAGGATGCAAACTATGGTTACAAATTCTTTATAAATTCACTTCATCACAAATCAAAGAAGTATAAAGGGAAATCATTCTAAATACTATAGTATTCTAATCAAATTGTCCCATATTAGTAAAACAGTCTCTTTAGAGCAAGGGTCTTCAAACTTGGCAAGTTTAAGACTTGTGGACTTCAACTCCCAGAATTCCTGAGCTAACATGACTGGAGGAGGAATTCTGGGAGTTGAAGTCCACAAGTCTTAAAGCTGTCAAGTTTGAAGACCTGCTTTAGATTATTGGAGGGAATTCGGATTCATTTTCACTTACATCATAAAACAAAGAAATAAGTCAATTTACTGTTCTGAAATTAGAACTCAGTGGTTAGCACCACAAAATATTTTTGTTTCATCAAATGAGACATTAAAACAAAAACTATTGGCAGATGATTTTATGAATACAACTTGTCAAACTATAGTCATGTTTTTGAAAATTTGGCTGGAAAATTTAGATTGTTTATATGTAAGGTCATGAAGTATTGCGTTATTGGGGAAAATGACATTTTCGGAATCAGGAATCAGGCAAAATTAGAATCAGTTTCTAATTTTCTAATCATTAGAATCAAGCACAGAAGTTTTAATAAAATATTGCAATTGCAATACCGAATCCGTTCATTTTGCTTTTTTTTAAAGGTAATTGAATTGTCAGTTACTCCATAAGGTGTCCAAATGTTCTTCAAACAAATAATATTGTAATACGTTTTTTTTTACTCACATGGAACAATTTACATGTTTTGAGTT